TTCCCAGGCAGCACATGGGGGGGGGGGGGGGGGGGGGGGGGTTGGATTTAGAGACAATGGCCAACGCTGCTTCAGTATCAGGGTGTGAAGACAATGCTGACTGCCCGGCTGTCAGTGTGTGGTCCAGGGTGCTGAGGACTGCGTGGGGGGGGGCATCCCTTGCCCTGAACACGGCTAATCTCTGCTCCAGTGTCTCTCTCTTTCACTTCCTTAATCTGACTGCCGGCCCCCCGGAACAATCCGCCGGGGTCAGTCTAGATTAGTCCCCTTTGTGGCTCGCCGATAGTTACATCTATTTACACTTTTAACTTCACTGACAGCTGAATGGTAAATACAGCAGCGGGTGCAGCCAGATCCGCCGGCCTGGGGGACTGCAGGAGCCCATGAAATAATTAACTCCCCAGGGGAGGACAGGGGCCCCGACGCCGTCCGCAGAACACCGTGAGTGCGGCCTAGAGGCCTCTGGCTTCTCATGATGCCTCCAGAGGGGTAACAGTGCTGGCCGGCTCGTCACGGCGTGGAGAAAAGCACAAAACTCAGTGGAGATTAAAGCTTTTGGGGGGGGAGGCATTAGAATGTGGGGGCCACGTTCATGCATTGCATTTAAAGTCATTTTTGTGCAGTGTGGTTCTTTCAGTAAGGAAATAACATTTAATGTTATTTTTGTTTCCTGAGCATAAGAGGACTGGGCCTGAAAATCTCCACCTTAGGGGCTTTTAACATGTAATAGAAGAAAACACACAAATATTATACACAAAAACACAAAATCCCATGATGCATCCTTTCCCTCTCAGGCATGTGTACACACACACAGTTATTACTATCACACTCTTTTATCAGACATTTTCCTCACTCACTCGGTAATCGACTGAGCACTCAGCTCCATATTAAGCCTGAGGCAAGCTCCTGGTTTCTCTCTGCGTTACCTTACTGTCCTATCCGCGTTCTGCTTTCTGACGCCACACACACTCCCAGAATGCAACAGGGCATCTTCTTCTCAGTTTGCTAATGGCAGGAACACTGATCACTTCCACCCATGTCTGACTGGATCCCGGACCACATGATAGGTGCTTTTCTACGTGAGGTGACCCGCATCCCTGGGGGCTCCACCCCTAGTGCTGCACATGCTCAGTCTGTCAAGAGACTAATCAGAAGGCCTGATACAGAAGTCCTGGGCCCAAAGGAGAGCCTGCCCCAAGAAACGGGGAACAGGAACATCAGCAGTAATCTCCCCTGAGTGGATGTAGGGGCTCCCATCCAGCCTGAACTCGCCCCCCAGGCCTGACCCCATGGCACCATGACTGGAAGAGCAGACAGGGCTCTAAATCCCTGCTTTTGTCCATCATTATCTGAGAGGGACCAAGGGTCTGTGATGAGACAGAGCCAGCGATCAGCATATCGGGTGCCGCAGCCTGCTCCAGCGTCCGCACCTCCCTACACACGACCACGGGACACTGGACACGCACACGCACACACAACCGACGAGGAGAGGAGAACTGCAGAGGCAGCATGTGACATTAACCCCCGCTGTCATTGAATGGGGTATACATACCCATGGATGGATGGAGGGAAGGTAAAGAGGTCAAGATAAAGACAGTAGAAGACAAAGAAAGACAGAGGCCCACCACAGGAGATGACAGGAGCAGGGGCGGGGTCACAGGGGGACTGGCCCTAGTTGAAAGCTGATTGGCTTCAGGAATGCTCCCTGCCCTGTCACGCAGCGATTCAAAACATATTATTGGCTAATGCTAAGGTTGGCTCCTCTATATACATTATGGTTCCGCTATATGAATCATGGCCCCTCTTGTGCCGTCCCACCTTAAAAAATCCTAGAATCTGCCCTGGGCAGGGGGCAGCGGAGAGGGGGCAGTGGCAGCCCGCTGGGTGGCTCCCCTGCTTAACTCCTCGCCTGCCGCCTGCCCCCCCCCCCCACAAACATTTACATGGATTATGTGTACCAGCAGAAGGCTAAAAATGGGCCTTCCAAGCGGGGCAGAGAGTCCTAACAGCCACTGCACTCAGCAAGGGTTCGAGGAGGGATATTTTGTCAAAAGTGTGGAAGTGGTGTAAAAAATGTAAGCTTCCGGTTTTCAAATGGGGGGGAGGGTCTGTTTTTGTGTCCTCCCCTATCGACATCCAAATCTTATTTCTCGCACCACCTGGCCCTGGGATACTGCACTCAGGCCCCTGCATGTTGGCTTTCCCTCTTGCTCTTAATGAATGACCCTTTCGCCCAGGAGGGGAGGGTGTGCTGCTGTCATCCCTCCCCCCTGAACTGGGCCACGGGCCTCAGTATAGGTGATGTCACACGGCCAGAGGAGAGCTCCCTTCCCTCAGTCTGGCCCACAGCTCAGTGGATAACAGACGCAGCAGCCGGCCATCGCACTGCCCAAACACTGCAGGCACTGCGGCACCACAGGGGCCTGTAGCTGCCTCCGTGACAGAGCTGATCACTGAATGAATGGGCTGATCACTGAGTGAGTGAGTGAGTGAGTGAGTGAGTGAGTGAGTGAGTGAGTGAATGACTAAGTTTTTGTCTGGATGACTGAGAACATGAATGAACAAGTGAATGAATGAGTGAATGAGTGTAGAGGCAATCGGATATCATTAAACATAAAGTTAAAGTGAGATCCATCTTTGTTATTTAGCATTTAACTTCTTTTAGTCAAGACCCAGAGTGATTAAGACGACATCCGAGGCCCATACCTGTGGACTTGCAGGCAGAACCTTGATTATCCTGAATATCCTGGGAATATCCTGACAGAGGCAGCCTGGCGTATGGAGAACGGGCTTCCTCCTTGCCCTGGATCTGCAGCAAACACACACACGTCACAAATCTCCTCATAAGCTGCCCATGGGCTCAGAACCTGCAAACCAGCCGCAGAAGAACAATACTGCGGTTCCTCGTGGTCATGCTGCATCGGGATGCCCCCCCACCAACAGGGGGCATAGGGGTTAAGGATCCAGACTGCTGTAGAAATGGATAAAACTGACTTGCTTTTGATTAAACCATAAGACAATTCACCAGTAAGTTATTACTAAGTTTTTAGAATCTTTGGTAAGATTCCTCCTACGGCTACTTTGTCAGGTCTAGCTCCATAAGCACCAGGCCACCCGCACCCTGCCGGCCACAGCGAGCTTAATGAATCCTGTATCAGAATGAAGGCAGACAGATAATCCAGCCCCAGCAGCGCCCGTAACCTGCTGTACCCCTCGCCCATCGACCTTTGACCTTGACGCCACCTGACGCTACCACCCAGGCTATCCCCAGTCAAGACTTCCTGTCGATGGTCTTTGTAGCTTAGTGAGCCCCCGCCCCCCCCCCCCCAAGGCTTCCTTTGAGTCCCATCCACACCCAAGGTGGCGCCAAGAATCTCTCTGTACCTACAGAGTCCCAGCTCACAAACACCCCATTCATGAGGGGCATCCACATGGCAGTTATAAACACCAGCAGCAAAGCCAATATTTTATCATAAACAGAAGATAATTCTTTGGTTTTGAACTTCTGACGTACAGTTCCATTCGTTACGAATACAATGTGGATAGATAAGCTGGCAGTTTTCTTTGTTAATAAAGGTGAACGCTTCTTTATTTGATGATCAGGTGATCGCTATCACCTGTTATCAGTTATCTTACGCTGGAGCGACGTTTGAATGAGGCTGATTGCTGCCACGGGATTTCCCTCCAGAGCAAACCTTTTACAGCTTGTAATCTTTCACAACTGTTAATTGCTCACAGAGTGGCACAGGGTTTAGGCACATGAGCAGGAAACTGGACCGACCTGAGACTCACCTGCCTGCTCTGGCCCCGCCCACTCTGGCCTCGCCCACTCTGGCCCCGCCCCTCATCTCCCATGTGGGAGGCTGTCGCTGCACTGGATCCTGCCAAGAGACGGGCGAATGGGAGAACGGGAATGAGAGAGAGGAACAGAGGATGGAGAAGGACGATAAGAAAGGCGGAAAAAAGGAGGGAAAATGAGATGGCGGGAGCAGTGAGGGCGGGGGGACAACGCACAGCCATAAAGCTTTATATAGGGGATTTTTACCCCCCCCCCCCTGTGTGCTGGCGTTAGTTAGCAAGGCCGACTTCAGCTTATTAATCTCAAAAGCAAATGTTTATGCAGTAACACAACCTTCTGGAAGCACCTGCTCTCTGAGCGTGGCGGCAGGTGCTGCAGCACTCAAGGAACGCGATGTTCACAGAGGCACAAACGCTATGGGGGCAAGATGGGTGCCTCCGGCCCCCCATGAAACGTGTAGACGGTACCTGGATACCCTCAGCACCCCATCCGGCTCGGGGAGGGAGGTCTCCCACATTCCAGAAGGGCCGTCAAAGAGGAGCAGGCGTGTGTCTATGTGTGTTTGTGTGTCTTAGGTGTACATGTACTGCTGCGTTGGCCAGTCGCATGCCTTGCATACTGCTGGATGCACTGGAACAATGCTATGCTCATTATGCATGATCAAACCACTGGCTGAATTCATTCTAATCAAGTAGGACTGAACGTGCTACTTAAATATATACTATTTTTTGCATTAAATCAAACGTATAGATATATAAACAAATGCAATGATATAAAGACTAACTAAGATCTTTTTATAAAAGACAGAAGATTCGGGCACTGAGCTCAGTTCAGGACTGTCTAACTGGACGGTGGTTATTACTGGATCAGAGCCACTTCCCTAAGCCTCTCCCTGAATCTGCCCAGACCAAATGTTCCGTTTCCCAGTTAATCATAAACTCGGGCCGTTTGATCTTCATGGCAGCGGCACATCATGGGCTCTATAAACCCCAGACCGGCCACCTGCACCCCCCCCCCCCCCAAGCTGCAGTGAATCTCAGCCACTTTACTGCTTTACTGCTGATCCCCACACTCCACACGCGTGCCCGGCCCAAAGCGGCCCACCTGAGACGAGATGACAGGCGGCCGGCACCGGGTTCAAAGCCCGCGATGGGCCCCCGGCACGTCAAGGCCGATCCCCGGCCCCCACCTGCCCCCCGTCTCGCTTGCCAGTGCTGCTGTGGTATTCCCCTACCCTGCGGAGAAGCTTGGCTGAAACGGGACACTGTGTCTCACTAACTGTTACTTCTGCTCAGCTGAAAAAGCTGAGCTGTTTGTGACCTGCACCCCCCACACATGTCCTGTGGCCAAAAAACACAGCCAGTGAGTCTGACATGCAAATTCAGCCCCCTGGTGAATCGTCATGATCGGGCGACGGGATTGGTCTCTGGCAACGTCACTCAGAAACACATGCAGTGATGGCTAGAAGCACAAGGACACCTGTGGCCCAGTGGAATAATCCGAGAGCACTTTGGGTCCCGTCTGCCGTCTCCAGTCCCTCGTCATCGTCATTCTGTGACGCCTGCTCTGGTGTTGGGGGGGACATGGACCCCACGGGAGGGTGACGTTCCAGGAGAAGGAGCCGTATGTGGGACAGGGATGCTGAATCGCTCGAGTCACAGCCCAAAGCCAGGGAGGCCGCCAGCTGTGACAGCTCTGTAAAAGAAAGCAAGACAGACTCACTAATCAGAATAGGAGGATAGTAGATAGACAGCTCATCCCACCAATCAGAGCAGGATGGTAGCATATAGACCCCTCATCCAATCAATCAGAATAGGCGAACAGAAAAGACACTGCCCATCCCACCAATCAGAATAGGAGGAGAGTAGATAGACAGCTCATCCCACCAATCAGAGCAGGATGGTAGCATATAGAACCCTCATCCTATAAATCAGAATAGGGGACAGAAAAGACACTGCCCATCCCACCAATCGGAATAGGAGGATAGAACAGAGACTGCCAGTCCTACCAATCAGAATGGGAGGACAACAGTGAAACAGTATATATCCCACCAACCAGAATGTAGCCAAAAGAGCATTCATGAAAGTCATGAAAGGCCTGTCTCAATATTAGATGGCCAGAACCACAAAAGCCCCACACAGTGATTGCCAGGGAAGCACCGGCAGAAGCTGAGGGCGAAGTGGTCAGTGATGTGACATCAGGCTGCAGGTGGAGGTTCAGGGCCAGTGAGCAGTGCCAGTGTGGGATGGGACAGCAGCAACCCTGCACCCGCTTCCAGGGGCTACAGCTATGTCTCTGTCACACCTCATTGATACTGTATCAGTGCCGGCACTGGCTCCCAGCCCATGCAAATCTCTTCTGGCGCCCAGGGGCGTGGGCAGTACCGACAGGGGATTTCACAGAGCCGTTACGGGGTCAAAGGTCAAGCCGTGCCACTCTCTTACCGGGCCCAACTTCCTCAAGCGAATCACAGCACTCCAGCGCCTTCTCTGGCCAGGCAAAACCAAGACACGTTACTGACACGCTACCATGTACGACGCTCTGTGGGTGAGCACGCACCTTTAACAGATATAACCGAGAAATCAGGGCCAGAAGGTCCCTGAGGCATTTGGGGTTAAGGGCTTTGCTGAAGGGCCCAGCAGCAACATCACTCTGGAGACCAGGGGATCCGAGCCGACAACCTACCGATCACAGCCACAGTGTCCAACCCCACTGAACAACACATTACTCACAAGTGCATGTATGCCCGCGTACTTGTGTGTGTGCATTTGTGTGCCGGTGTCTGCCAATAGAACAGCAAGAGCAGCTTCAGACTGACAAATTCAGGGGCTCTAGAAAGGATGTGGACGAGACCAGAGCCCATTGTTGGAGATATCCTTCTAGCTAAGGACTCTGCTAATGCTGTTATTATGGTCTGGATTACTCCCCCACCCAAAAGAGCATTCCAGCTGCACTGCACTGAGCTCCGTTAGCCTTTATGACACCGTCATCTTGTCTTTCTCTTAACTATCTGAGTCACTGACAACTGGGCATGAATTCCCTGTATGTCTGAACATTCTTAGCCACTTAACCTGATTCTGCTTACTGATGAGGGCCAGGTGAAAGGTTAGAATATCTGGTAACACTTTACTTGATGGAACACAAATAATGTAGCATTATGATATTACTTATGGATCAATTGAACAGAAGATACAGGTAAGTCTTAGTTACATACTAATCTCATGTTTATTCATCATTAAAAAATTGTGACAAATCTTTTATCCCAAGCAGTTACTACATGTTACTATAGATGTTAAATCTGTAAACCTTTGTGAACTACTGAAGGTACAAGTAATGAATAACACAAGTGAAATACCCATCTCATGTTTGTTCTGCATTAATGAATCATGACACATCTTGTATCTCAAATAGTGTCTATATTTGTTTGTGATTTGTACTTCAATGCCCCGTCAAGTAATGTGTTACTGAAACACTCCAGCAAAGACAAAGACATGATCAAAGGGCACAAAACCTTTAAGGGAAGATACAGAAATGCACAGGAACACAACTGGAAACTATAAGGAGAGCAGAGCAGATTGGAGAGAGCTTCTGCACAAGGAGTACTGGGGGTTTGGAGTGGACCTCTGGTAGCACAACAGAGATATTGAACTAGGATTATTCAAACTACAACATAAATATTATCACACAACTGGTGATAAGATGAGCTGCGTGGGTTGCCCTGCTGTCCGGATTGCATTTATATTAAATTCCATATTTTATTAATTATTATGCAGAGGCCAATGCTGGACATTTAACAACAAGCAGTGCATTATGGGTAACAAGCACTTTAAAATGGGTGAACCTAGAGTAATCAGTGCTGTACCTGCATTAAAACTCATTTAACAAGCAGTAGGGAGGAGGCCACAGATGAGTTTTTGCCCTACAACAGGTACCGGCAAAAGTTAAGGAAACCGCAGGCAGGTTAAACACTCTGCTGAGGCTTAGCAGGATAATGGCCTCTTAGGATTTCCGTCAGAAGGAAATGAGGCTGAGAGTGAGTGATGCCCCTCTTCACGGCTGACTGCTCGCCCTCAGGACACACACACACACACACACACGCACGTGCTCAGACGCAGAGGCAGCATGTGGCTATTTATCCTCATGCACAGAACCATTTTGCCAGGCAGCGTGACAAATTGCCCCCAAACAAACACACACACGTGCAACAGCGCAAACGCCACCTGAAGGTCAGCTCACGACAGAAAGGAGTGTCTGATTCTGGGCACAGGAAGGGACTAACAAACAACTCCCTGAAACAAAAGATGCGGCTATGATGGTGCAGTGAGGTAACAGTGGGTTTACACAGATTACTCACACGTTTAAGGCAGGTAGGGGCCACATAATCACACAGGAATTCTCCAGGCCTCTGTCATGCTAATTGAAGGCAAATTTCCAAAACTCACTCAGTCCGTATTCTGATGAGACCACCGATGACCGAAAGTTCTTCCTCAACATATGTTACATTGCCGCTAACCAAACCCACTCAGTCCTCATGTACTCAAAGAACTTTCATTAAAATATCCAAAGCTCACCAAGTGCTCATAAATTTCTCAAATATGTACGCTGTGAATTGAGTGAAATTATGGAATTTTAATCTTCAATTAGTTAATAAATAAGAGATATATTAGCCTATATGGACTGAGGCTTTGGTTCCTGTTCCCCACTGTAAGTGTGTGGATTTCACAACGCTGTGTGGGTTTGTATTGGGTACTCCACTTTACTCCCACAGTCAGACTTTGCCTGAAGTGTGTGGTTTATACCATAAGTGTGTGGTTTATATGGACTGACATTTCTAGGCCTCCCCCTACCCAGAAAGTGGTCATATAATTTTAACTTAACCTTTATTGAAAATTACGTATTTATACGTAAATTCTTTTTACGTCTCCATCAACTTGCTCTTTGTAGAACAAGCTGTCTGTCTTCCACCTGTTGGAGCACCCAGGGACCCGCAGACATGCTGAGGCTGGGTTTGAACCAGCGACCTTGTGATTACAAGCACACAGGCTTAGCCCACTGAGCCACACTCTGCCAGTCAGTCTGCAAAGTTTACCTGTGTATTTAAACAAACAGAAGGTATGTATATGGGGTGGAGCCACAGGGGCACTGGTCCCAGCTGAAAGCTGATTGGTCCCTGGAATGCCCCCTCTCCTGTCAGTCACCGATTCAAAACAAATCATTGGCTAATGATAAGGTTGGCTCTCTGTATGAAACACAGCTCCTCTTATGCCCATCCCCCCCCTCCCCCACCACCACCACCTAAAAACATCCTAGAATTGCCTTGGGGAGTGTCTGTGTATTTTCAGCTTGTATACCCCTGTATACCTTGCGGGGGTGGATATTGGGTAGGCTGGTCCATAAATACGGGTAACTGTCAGGTGTATTATAGGCATTACAGAACCAGTACCTCCAGCAGATGGACTGTGGTCTGGATCATCCCCTGACATCTCCTGGGACAGATCGGATCCGGCGTGTGGGGCAAGGGCGTCCAGCTCGTCGAAGGCGTCGGAGTGGGCGGGGCTTAGGCTGGAGGAAGGGGACCCCCCCACCTCTCCACCATCTGGAGGGAGCCAGAGGGCACGGCAGAGTCACGTAAGGGCCCCTTCAGACCCCCCTGCTTGGAATTATGGGTAGAGGGGCGGCACTGAAGAGAAGCCGGCATTTCCATTCCCTGCCGTCCTCCCCAACGTTTAACTCACACGTCACCCCTTATCCCTTGTTTAACTGGCCCCAAAACAAACAAAGAGGCATGCAGCTAAGGACAGCTGCAGGAGATCCTGATTCCAGGGGAGATATAAATGTCCGAGGCCACAGCTGACCATCGCTGCCCCATCAGTAAGTGATAACGGGCACATTCCTCCCCCAGGGCAGACTGAGCACCTCGTCCCTAAGAGCAACACGTCTCTGATCAGCTGGGACCTGATCCCCAGCTCTCACTACCCTGTCCAAGTGTGTGTGCAGGCATGCAGGCACACACACACACACACATGCAGACACACACACACACACACACACACATGCAGACACACACACACACACACATACGCAGACACATAGACACACGCAGAGACACACACATGCACAGCGGAGCCCCAGCTCTCCTCTCGATGACAAAAGGGGGACTTGACTCCACACTGCTGCCTTTTCAGCCAGCCCTTCTCTCTGACCCAGAAGCACCATTCTTCCCAGGCAGCACATGGGGGGGGGGGGGGGGGGAGGGCAAGACACAGGAGGGGGAAAGAAAGGGCCCCCCCCCCCCCCCCCCCCCCCCCCCCCCCCCCCCACAATAGGCAAGGCCTCCCCACATTGTCAAGTGCAGCTACGCACTGAAGACAGCACTCAAAGGGGCTGGCCAGGAGGTCAATGGTGATTGTCACATGGTGACATGGTGACGTGAAAGGGAGGCATACATACCCCCCCCCCCAAAATGGCTAACCCCATACTGGGGACTGAGGGCATTCTGTCATGGCATCCACTGGGACCCCACCCTAAGCGCCTCGCCATCTTCCAGCTTGTTCCACTGTCTGAAATTTTAATCCAAATTTGATTATGAAGACTGTCTCCAGTGGTTTCTATCTGGGTGGAACCTTGTCCTCAACTCTAAAGGTTCTCAGCACTCGGTCCCTGAAGAGCCACACAAGGTAGGTAGAAGGTAGCACTCCTACCTTTACGACTCCATCCAGCAGATGCAAACATGCCATATCAGTTCTTGAATTAGCTGTGTAAAACTTCACAATACAAGCCAGCCAGCGCTGACACAGCCTGAGACCCTCTCTATGCAGACCTCTACTAATGCACACCACACACCATGGTCTGAGGGACTCTGATTTTGACATAAGAACAGTAGAGCATCAGCAGCCTGACGCCGGTTTGATGGCCTTCCAGTGCCCTCAATGAAAACCCTATGCCACGCACCGCCCCCCCCCCCTCCCAACAGCACAGGAGGCCCACGGTCACCACTGATGACCGAGAAAGTTCTGGCACAATTTCTCCATTGTTTATCCTCGTACATACAACTTCCTGCAAAGATCAGATGCCAGCAGTCAACGGTCTTTATCTCTCCCTGACACACACTCATTATCCTGGCGGCGGTGGAGAAGGCCAGACCTTTCCATGCCGGTCTGGGCTTAAACCCTCCCCGGTGACTCCAGACCGTGGTCCCTGTTGATTTATGACTCCCAGCAACATGTCTGCCTGTCTGTGACTGGCGAGGAGAGAGAATGATGGCCGCGGGCAATGATAGTGGCTTCCACTCCCCCAGTCTGCCCCTGTTCCCCATTGTACACCGCCTCAGCTTTGAAATGATTCCACTCTACCAGCTCTTCATCAAAAGGCTCTTTCTTTCTGCGATTTTGTTGAAAAAAGAAAAGCTTTCAGAGTTTTTAATTATGAGGGGAACTAAACTGGTCACCCCACAAATGTAGAGATGGGGACATGTGAAGGCCTTTCTAAAAGCTGGGGCTTTGATTTCTCAGCCTTCCGCATTTTGCACTTTGTTTCCGGGAGGACTTCCCACCACATCTGCACCTCTTCCCGGGACACGGAGATGGCAGAGATGCATACAAGGACAGAAGAACCACTCCTCACCTCTGAAGGGAGATATTGGGGGCAGTACAGGCCAGCGAGGAGGCACAGAATCTTGCCAGATCTTCTTGGAAGGCAGGAATGCCAACTTTGGACCAGATATGGTTTGAGAAGATTGTGGGGTGGAGCTGACACCTCCATCAGAGCTCACATCCATGCAGAGCTCAGGTTCCTGCCGGGGTGGGGATGTAGGTTCCTCGTTACGGAGGCCAAGCATCATGACTGGGGGTGATTTGTTGTTGGTTCCTAGAGGTGGGAGGGCAGGACCTGTAGGCGTACTGGAGGGCGACTGTGAGCGCAGTTGGGACAGAGTGACGTCATCCTCTTCCTCAGCTTTACTCACACCTGTTGAAGACGACACAGCAATGAAAGTGAACCAGATCCCTCAGGACTCCTCTGCTGATCCTCCCTAGCGGTGCTCTAAGGGGAATCCCGCCAGAGCCACACGTTATATAAACCTGATATGGGCAGGGGGACCTCACCAACAACAGACATCCTGCTCCCAGCTTTGCTAATTCCAGGCCATTCAGATAATCAGTCAAAATTGGTTACAATGTAAACAAGACAGAAAGACTGAGAGCTCTTACCGGATAAGACACTACTCCCCCTACTGGACAAACTGGTACTGCGGCTGAACTGACTGGATCCTGGCCGGCTGAAGTCGGACAGGGAGTTCATGGAGGTGTCTGGTCCTCCAGAGATCGCAGTAAAGGTGTCCTCACGTTCTAGGCTTGGGGGACTCCTGAAAGCTCTGTTGCTCTTTGCCCCCCCATCCACCTCCTCTGGTTGAGGAGCTGTAGTGCAGGGAGATGCTGGGACAGATGGCACTGGGGGGAGCAGGGCAGTCTTCAGACTCACAGCTGTGGTGTGAGAGACGTCCTCTGGCGAGTTAGGGACCTCAGGAAATGGCCTCCTGGGAGCAGGGGGTGCTGGAACGCGGGGCACGGCATCAGCAAATTGCCCCCTGTTGGTGGACTGGAGCCACAAGACGAACTGGGGGTCTGCAAAGAGAAAAACATACCAGCGAACAACTGGGATATGACGGCAGCACCTTTTAGTGAGTTATGAGGCAAAGGGGGCCATTTTGCAGCATCAAGCAACAGAGAGTTATTCTACAAACAGGGGTTCTAAACCACCTGTCCCCACCCGCGGATTGGAGCGGGAATTCTGGGGGAGGGGTATCACGTTCCCCCCCAGCATCACTGCACACCACAGGGTCAGATGACAAGCTGTACCTCATCAGGTTCATGGCAAGGAGCATACTGGCAAACAAACCCACTAATCAGGCATTGTTTTAGACAGCCCTGGCAATGGGGTCCTTAAAGACACACATATGGGCTACAGGCTGCAGTCATTATGGTCTCAGAGCCAAACCAGTATATCTAGCTGTTGCCTGTGACATTTGTTCTCTCTCTTCATGAAGTCACAGCACAAGCGACTCTTCACCCCCCCC